TTGCCAGGGAGAAGAGAAAGAATAGTCCTTGTGAATATGCCCAGAGTGTTCTCCATAAACAAGCCTGAAAGATTTCACCAGAGTTTTTTCCTGTCGCAGAAAAAGCAATCTCCTACTTCATACCCATCTATTTGTCCTGTTTCAGCAAAATTATACCAATGAAGAAACACATGTGAAGGTCACAATGGAGAGAAACAGGCCCCTAAAATATAAAATTTCATCCTAAGATGATAGAATGCTTCCTGACCCCACACCTTCCCACTACACCAACAGGGTTCCAGTATAATAACAGAGGATTACAGTGAAGAGATCACTAACACCTAGAAGTAGTTAGAGAAGCACAATGCCCAAAGAGTAGACAAAAGCAAGGACACCAAAAGTATTTGAAATCTCTGGCAACTGCAATGACAATTATATAGCTCAACTCCTAGACCGGTTGTCATATACTCTCATCATAAAGGCCTATTCACTTCAGCTCCTACTACCTGACACAATAGGTCTGGTTTTCAACAAAAATTAGAAGAAGAAGAAGAAGAAGAAGAAGAAGACGAAGAAGAAGAAGACGAAGAAGACGAAGAAGACGAAGAAGACGAAGAAGACGAAGAAGACGAAGAAGAAGAAGAAGAAGAAGAAGAAGAAGAAGAAGAAGAAGAAGAAGAAGAAGAAGAAGAAGAAGAAGAAGAGGAAGAAGAAGAAAAATCAGTCTGAAGAGACAGGGCAAACAGAGGTTGGAATGATCAAACATAGCATTTAAAATAACTATGATTAATATGTTAAGGGCTCTATGTGTTGGGCTTTATGCTCATCTCTATAAGCAGAGAGATGGAAATTTTAAGACAGAAGGAAAAGTAAATGCTAAAAAGACAAACAAAAAAGCATTGTGATGAAAATTAAGAATGCCCTTGATGGGTTTTATCATTAGACTGGATATGGTTGAAGAATCAACTCCTGAACTTGAAGATGTTGTTAAGTGCAGTTGAGTCAGTTCTGACTCATAATAACCCTGTATAGGAATGGTTGGTGATTTTGAACTGCTGACCTTATGTATCAAGCTGACCTTGAAGTTGAGTGCTTATCCTATGGCACCACACCAGGACTTCATAATGGATTTGTTGTTGTTTAAGTGCTGTCAAGTTGGTTCTGACCCATAGTGACCCTGTATAGGTTTCCAAGGAGCAGCTGGTGAGCTTGAACCACTGACCTTGCAGTTTAAACCGACTTTGAAGTCCAGCACATTAACCCACACTGTTATAATAATCTGTTATAAAATTTAAAAAAACATATTGAAAACTGTCAAGCAAACATTGAAAAAATTTTATAAAAGAAGTGTAATTAATATTCTAGGTGGTGGTGATGGTGGTGGTGTGCCATGGAGTCAGTTCCGACTCATAGTGACCCTGTATAGACTCATAGCAACCCTGTATTGGGTTTCCGAGGCTATAAATCTTTACGGGAGCAGAAAGCCTTATCTTTCTCCTGTGGAATGGCTGGTAGTTTTGAACTGCTGACCTTGAGGTTAGCAGTCCAACTCATAACCACTATACTACCAGAGCTCCCTAGTATGCTAGGAGAGGAGAGAAAATGGACCATAAACAATGCTCAACTAAAATCACAGAAGTTAGAAATAGGGGGCGGAGTGGGAATGATGGGAAGGAATTAATGCAAAGATTGAAAACAGTTAAAAACATGGTAGATATTAATCCATTTATATCAATAATCACTTTAAATGTGGCCTAAATACACCAATTAAAAACAGAGATTGTCAGAGTGGATAAAAAACAAGACTCAACTATATTTGTTTATATAAAGAATTCATCTTAAATAGCAAGACTCAGACTGGTTAAAAGATGCCTTTTACAGCACTGGGGTTAGGATTTTAAACATGTATTTTGTTGAGTTACAATTTAATCCGTAACAGAGGATGATGAATGGTGTTGGTATTCAAGGTGGTGAGAAGAACACAAGGCCACATGGTGTTGATGGTGGAAAACTTCACCCCAGGATCCCACTGTCTTACATTTAGGCCTTCCTATATCTGGGCCTTCAGTTGCAAACTCCTTTTCCTTAGAGCTTATTTCCAGTCCCTGTAATACTATCGGATCTCATCTTGTCTCTTGAGTTTTCTCCAAGGACCCCTTTGCTCCATCACTGAGCCATGTCCAGCCTAGGAGAAAATTTTCCTACTGGCTATAATTTTAGTTTTATAGTTTTAAAATTCCTGAAACCTGAGGCACAGTAAAAAGTTTCATGTTTTCCTAAGACGAGGGCTCATTTACAATTGGAGAGTGATCATATACGAAGAGGAAGTCCGATGCCAGAGGAATAAGTTATGTCTAGGTTTTTAAAGTGGACCTCTGGTAGCGTAGTGGTTATGAATCGGCCTGCTAACCTCAAGGTCAGCAGCTTGAAACTATCAGCTGTTTTGCCGGAGAAAGATGAGGCTTTCTGCTCCCGTAAAGATTTACAGCCTCGGAAACCCTGTACAGGGTCGCTGTGAGTTAGAATCCACTCCATGGTACACAACCACCACCAGCAAATCTATTTCACAGTAGGCTGTTTCTGAAAGCGGGGCCAACTGGGTAGGTCAAACCCAAGTTTCTGGAGCCAGAAGCAGAATGTTGGCCCTGGATCCATGGCCCCACTCTGTGCGTTACTTTATTGCCCAGAGTGCCTTTGTGCTCGCCTTCAATGGATGTATTTAAGGGCACAGGGCACATCAGAGTAAGGATAGATAAAGGGACTGTAATCGGAAGCAGCACTCTCCTGGAACATATAGGGCACAGTAGCTAGCTGTGCCTGGAGCTCTGGCCCTGGATTCCACTCTATCTCAGAACCAGCTCAGAACACAAAACCTGGCACAACCTGGATGCGGTGGTCACTGTGGCTTTAACAAATGCAGGCGTGAGTGATGCAGGGACTGCAAAATGCAAAATGCTTTGATGCACTAATAATTTTGGCTTAAAGCTCTTCCCAGTACTCTTATTTTAATCCCCAAAGAAATTTCTTGTGTGGCCCAGGGGTCCTATGTACCACAGCACTAGCTGTTGCACCGGGGTGGGGCTAGGGCCAGGGCCAGGGCCAGGCCTGACAACCCTGAGAGCGTTGGATGGAGCTGGACTCGGGAGCACACCAGAGGGCAGGGGCTGGGCTGACGCTCGCTGGGCAGGGGACCACTAGGCGGAGAGGAGAGTCGGAGCTTGGAGGACAGAGGAGCGCCTGCATTCGGACGCAGGGCCAGAGAGGAGGCCCCAGGAGGTTTGTCTCTCGAGTTGCAGAAACAAGGTGCCTATTGTCTCTTACTTTTGGTTGAGGGCGGGGTTGCACAGAGGTCGTGCCCTCAGCTGGACTTGGCGCCCGCGGAACGAACAGGGGAAAAGGGCGCGCATGCGCGCTCTGGAAGGACGCGGCCGCGATGCGGAAATACCTCTCCTCGACTGAGAATTTGGGTACTTGAACTCAAGAGGACACGAGGTAGGCGTGATGGCGCTCAACCTGTACAAATGTAGGCCCCTGCTTTAATTTGCGTTCTTCTCAGGTGGTGTTTTTGGCTTTCACGTGTTCTGACCCGCCCTCTTGCCTCCATCATGGAAACTGGACCTTGACTCCGAGGCGAACAGTAAGGACTTCCGGGGTGGGACTTCTATTTCCCTGGTGACGGGAGCGGGTTCGTGCCAAATGTTTCGTTATTATTTAAAAAATTCAATGTAGAATGGACAGCAGAGTTCAAAGTGTAGCTCCCCACGAGATCTGGCATTATACTATACACAACAGTAACACCTCATTAATTGAAAATTTTTCATTTAACGAATTTTGATCTAACAAGTCTCTGTTCAGGCACATTGGGGGATGCCCAAGGGCTGGTGGCTCGGAGTTCATTATCTACCGCAGCGTGTGTGTCGAGGACTGTAGGGTGACTTCATGCCCAGAGTTTGAGGACGACGTCATTAGCAGTGGCTGTAACCGCGTGTGCCAGGGCAACACCTTGGCGCTTGTGGAAAGCTCGCATCCTGAGCTGGGCCTCCCTGCGCTTAGCTGAGCCTGAGCACCAAAGGAATGGTCCCCGGAGGTTTGCTGGCCGTTGGCTCTGGTCAGACAGTGCTTAAAAGTCTTAATAGTGCCTGGACTTCTTTTCATGTTATTCATTTCTGCCCCAGTAGTTTCAAGGAGTAATTGTTACCCCCCCCCAAAAAAAGAACCCCACACATGTGCAATTATGTAATATTCATACTTATGTAAGTCACAGTATGGGAGAAATAACCTCATTCTTTCTTCATTTCAGCGCCACACAAGTAAGCTTTGGTAGCACATTTTTTTTTAGACTCCTTGCTCAAAACCCCCCGTTTTGTAGGCTATACTCAAACTAGGCATAGAAGGAAAGTTTAATTTATACTATTCTGCAACTTTTTTCCCCCCATTTAATAATATCTTGGGAATTTTTACATCTTAGTTCATATCATCTAATTAATGATTGTATAATTTCTCATAGCGTATGAAATCCAGTCAACACACACAGTATCATACTGTGTATGTTGATTGGATTTCATTTTTGATTCTTCCAAGGAAGAACCCTGTAGAAACTAGTAACCATTGTAGATTTTTACCATTGTATGTTTTCTGACTCATTTTCTCCTTAATTTGTTGAAAATGCCCATTTAGTTGTGTATTTTTTTCAGAATCCTGGTGTGTAAGAACAAACCACTATTTACTCCATACTAAACAGGAGTCCTGGTTTGGCGCTGCAGGATAATGCACTGGACTATATTATAGGTCACTTTGAACCTGGAGGTGGGCACCTCTATGGAACTTGACAACAACAACAAATGGGATTTCCCCCCCTCTCCCCCCCACTTCATTTAGAGAAATAGTTTACTGAATAATACGTATTTGTTTATTCAAATCCTTATAGGGACAGAGATTAGTGATTTATAATCAATAAAATTATACAAGAGGAATTAATAAAACAAAATGTTTTCTACTTAAACAGAAACTGCATTTTCAGTATGCAGAAGGGAAGAGGGAGAACAAGCCGAATGAGAAGACGAAAGCGCTTCAAAAGTTCTGAATCCGGAGGAGGTACAGCTTTGATTTGTTTTTGGTGCTAATGATGATAAAAGCCATCCCTTGTTGATTGGTTTCTGTTCATGCACATAGCTTTGCTCAGATGCATATGAACAGTGTTCACAGACAATATTTTTTAAAGAATGGCTTCTCCTTTTAAGTACTTAAGGAAATACGATATATTTAACTCAGTGTTCCAACTTCGCCTTCTCTAGGAATGACTCTTAAGTGCCTGTTTTTAACCTTTCTCCTGAACCTGTAGTATATCACTGTTTGGATATCAATTTGTTACTTCACATTCAGTTTAACCCCGTTGGGATGAACTGCTGTATGTGAAAGCATTTGGCCAACTGGAAAGTACTACATAAATGCAATGGTTATTTTTATAGAAATTACTAACACTCCAAAAAAAAAAAATCCCAGCTAAACTCACTTCTGTCAAGTTGCTCATAGTGAACATGCAGGACAGAGTAGAACTGCTCCATAGGGTTCTGAGACTGTAAATCTTTAAGGAGCAGACAACTTTATTCTCCCAAGGAATGACTGGTGGATTTGAACTGCCAACCTTGAGATTAGAAGCCCAACACTTAACCCACTATACCACCAGGACTCCTGAATACTCCTTCTCATTAGTTGACTCCAAATATATCAGCACCACCTTTGAGGTAGACTCCAACTCTTACTCTCTATGGCCAATGTCCTACTAATTATTGCCTGGCCTTTGCTAGGGTAGTTTTTTCCTGTATATTGCACTTGACCGAAAATGCCAAATGTTTTACTTCCCTGTTGGCTGCTTCATTTATTGCTGTCAGTTTAACTTTCCCAAAGGACTGCTTCCATGCCACCTTTTTAGGTTACGGGCCTCCAGGGATCCTCATCTCCTTTTTGTATGGAATCTGCCTTTCTTTCTGCCTGTCATTTAAGGCCATTTATAGAGGATCTCATGGTTCCATCTCGGTGTCGTGAAAGTGTGTGGTCTCTGCTCACCGCTCCCTGAACATACCCTATACACATCCATTTCTGTATCATTCCTCATATTTTTCCTTTAGCCTAGAATTTGCTTTCCTTCTCCCTTCTTATCTAATCACTCTCCAGCTTTCAGTGCTGAACTGAGCTCTTCATTTCCCAGTAATGTCTTTTCCAGTAGGCAGCAATGCTACCCTTTTTTGAATTGGTATCACATTTATCAGGTGTACTCTTAAGGTCCCTGTGGCTTTTCAGTTGTTTTTCATGGAATTCTTGTTTCCCAGCTACATAGTCAGCTTCTTGAAGGTGAAGAACTTGTTGTATATGCCCCATAGTGGTTGATATACTGCTGTTTAGGTAGTAGCTGGTTGTTGTTGGTGTGCTATGTAGTTGGTTCCAACCTATAGCAACCCTGCATCAAGTTTTTGAGGCTGTAAATCTTTACAGGAGCAGAAAGCCTCATCTTTCTCCTGTGGAACGACTGGTAGTTTCAAACTGCTGACCTTGAGATTAGCAGCCTGATTCATACCCACTATGCTACCAGAGTTCCTTGTGTGTATAGCAGGTGCTCAATAAACACTCAACCATTATTGTGTGGTTTTTTTTTTTTTTTATTTTTTTTATAAACTCTGTTCTCCAATTTGTTTATAACATTTGGGAAGCCTTAAGTCTTGGGTCATTCTGTTTTAAAAAAACAACTTTATTGTGTATAATTGGCACACAGTGTTGCATATATAAAGTATGTAATTTGATAACATTTGTTATCAGATGTACCCATGGAAATATCACTATATTTATAGTAATGGACATTTTTATCACCTAAAAGTTTCTTTCTCCTCCTGTGCAATTCCTTCCTTCTACCTATCTTAGAGCTCTGGTAGCATAGTGGTTACGAATCGGGCTGCAAACCACAAGGTCAGCAGTTCGAAACTACCAGCTGTTCTGCGGGAGAAAGATGAGGCTTTCTGCTCCCGTAAAGATTTACAGCCTCGGAAACCCTGTACAGGGTCGCTATGTGTCAGAACCGACTCGATGGCACTTAAGAACAACAACCTATCTTAGAATGTTCTCGTCATCCTTTGGCAATTGCTTATCAACTTTCTATCACTACAGAATGGCTTGCATTTTACTGAGTTTTATATAAATGGAATTATATCCCTTCTTTTTATTCTGGCTTCTTCCACTTAGCATAATGATTATGAAGTAATTTCATGTTATGTGTATTAGTAATCAATTGTATGAGTAATATTTCATAATTTCTTTATTGTATTAATGGATATTTTGCCTTTTCAGTTTTGGGTTTTTATAATAAAGCTGCTATGTATGAACATTTGTGTACAAATCTATATGAACATATGCTTTGTTTTCTCTTAGGTAAATACCTAAGAGTACAGTGGCTGGATCACATGGTATTATAGTTTTATAGTGCTATAAGGAGTCCTAGTGTGGCACATTGTAGGATAAAAATTGGACTGTTAACCACAAGGTCTACAGTTCAAACCCTCCAGCTGCTCCTCAGAAACTCTTTACACATAGTCACTATGAGTCAGAACCAACTTAACAACAACAGCATACACACACACAAGGGGCTTCAAAAAGTTTGTAGAAAAATTCCATTATATTTTAATTCCACTTTTCCATGAACTGTTTGAAGAGAGAGAAAGACATTAATTTCAGGGAAATAGCTCACGTAGTTGTGAAGGCTGGTAAGTCTCAGCTGTATGCGTTAGGCTTCAGCTTAGAGGCTGTTCTTGAGTCACGTGCTTGCAGGGGTTGACAAACCCACATTTGGCAGGTTGGATGAAACGCTATTGGCTTGTGGGGCTGTGGAAACGGACGAATCTCCAAATTGGCTGCTGGCTTAAGTCCCACAATCTCAAGGTCAGATGATGATGCAGGATCCAGAGCATCCATATATGTACTGAATACAGGTCACACCTCAAGGGTGTGTACATCAGTGTACGGGTGTGACTTGAATAAGGGCAGGATTTGAGTCATGTCTTTTTGTAAGGTAGTGACCCAAGATCCACCCTCCACTAGTCCTACCTCATTAACATGTTGTTAAGTGCCTTCGTGTCAGTTCCAACTCGCAGTGACCCTTCATAAGGTTTCTGAGGAGTGGCTGGCGGGTTTGAACCACTGACCTTGCGGCTCAAGTTGAGTTTGTGGTCTAGCGCATTCTCTTGCAGCACCACACCAGGACTCCCTCATATAGAGGTTATGGTTTGGAATGCATAAACTAGAAGATAATCATATCAGATCTCAAAATGCAAGACAGCCACACAATAGCTGTCTTATAGCATTAACCATTATAATTGCTGTTTGTTCTTTCCTCTCCTGGCTAGTGAATGAGAGCTACAAGTCTGAATTTATAGCGCTTAGGAAGTGGCTGAAAGATAGGAAGTTTGAAGATACAAATTTAACACCTGCTCGCTTTCCAGGTAAAGTCTGGTATTTGATGCTCGTGACCTTCCTCATATGAGAGACGTGTAGGACAGGTGATGGGAAAGCACAGTTGATTCTTCCAAGTGGGCACCCTTCTCTTCTTTTATTGTTGTATATCAGGCTTTCTACCTTGGAGCTGTAATATTTATTATTTGCCATCTTATTCTAAAAATTAATTGAAGTGCCTCATCAGGAATGGACTAGCTATGCTAAAGGCTTACCTGCTTTGTGGACATCCCTTTAATTTAAGATAGGATTAAGTGCTTTATGTGTTTTTAGTTTTTAATCTGTGTGATAGGTGGGGACATTTTTGGGATTCAGTCAAAATCTACAACATTTTGAGGAAATAATCGTGGTTTGACGAGAGGAAAGGCAAAGCTCCCATGTGGAAAGCAGAATTTTGTCATTAGTCTCTCACCTAATGTCTGCTTTGAAACTGACCCCTGCATGTCTCTTGTCAACACCAAAATCCGGGCCCAATCTGGGCCTCTGGGTGATTTGGATTGCAAAGCTTTGAATGTAATGAGAAGTTTGAAGTAAAATTGACTTTTGAAAGCCTATTGGCCACTTTCTACCCTGTTTAATAAATCCAGTAAAAATGAAAAATAATAAAATACAGATTCCTATAACATAGTCTTTGATACTGAACCATACATTGCAGAAATATCGGTAAAATGTCTTCCACATTTATTCCATATGCCAGATCCTGTTCATATATGTTAGACAGAATTGCCATATAGATTAGCATGAGCCTTTTGAAGGATGACTCTATAGAATATAATCTCCCATTAGTAATGAATTCCAGGGAGGGTTATGGCTCTCAGGGATGATGAACTCCACTGTGAGGTGCACAGAATAAAGAAATAAGTTCTTGAAGACAAAACCATTTGTCTGAGCAGTTAGTATGCTATGCCTGGCTGGAGAGATAAGTGCTAAGGACACGTCAAATCCAGTGAGCCAGACAGATGATCATGACTCCAGGCTGGTTTCTGCTGTGACCCAGGAGCTCTCCGTGTCCTGAGGGGATTGACCTTTGTGGAATCATGTTCCTTCTTAGCTGAGAGAAGAAAGGCCAAGAAATATGAAGTTGAAAAGGTGACTGCTTTAAGCTCTCGGCATCTTATGGTCCTATAATGTCTGTGCCTGCTGGAAACACTGCATTTGAGAGTCCTCTGAAATCCTACCTGTCTGTGTCCTGGGAAGGGAGTCTAGGCATGGAGGGACAGCTTTAGAAAGCTGGTGGGATAACAGTGCCTCTGGTAAAGTTACTGGGTGATTGGGCTCCCCTTAAAGCTTTGGCTCAGAGGCAGTAGGTGGCCCTGGATCTGTAGATCCCCACTTACCCAGGTCAAAGCCGAGTCTATCTGATAGGCTACCTGGTTGGGGAGGGGAGGATATAGTCAGCAGACCTTCTGGGACTTGGAGTGGGGTTGGCTCAGTCAACCAAAGGACTCTCAAAGGTTGATCATGGGAAAAGCTGGTCAGGTTAGGGGTAAAAATGACTTCAAGGTGGGGTGGGAATTGGGAATAAGCTTGAGGGAAGGAGCCCCAGTGTGAGGGTTCTTGTAAGAGGCTTAGCCCATGGTGGTTTTAGGCCACCCTGCCATGGAGTAGATTGTCTACTTATGGTGACCCCTTGTACAAGAGTGAAATGCTGCCCAGTTCTTTGCCATCCCCATGATCAGTAGTGGAACAGGTGTCTGTGTTCCATAGAGTGTTCACTGGTGGATTTTGGGAAGTATACCACCAGGCTGTTCTTCTTAGTCTGTCATAGTCTGGAGGCCCCACTGAAACCTGTGACATGGCCTTCCCTGACAGACAGGTGGTAGCTGTGTGTGAGGTGCATTGGCTGGGAATTGAACTCGGGTCTCCCACAAGGAATGCAAGAATTCTACCCCAGAACCACTACCACCTTCATAGGGCACCTTGCAAGGATTATAAAGCCACAAGGGGGTCAGGGCACTTCCCCAAGTATGTTGTTGTTGTTGTGATGTGCCGTGGAGTCGGTTCTGACTCATAGCGACCCTACACAGGGTTACCGAGGCTGTAAATCTTTATGGGAGCAGACCACCTCATCTTTCTCCTGCGGAGCGGCTGGTAGTTTCGAACTGCTGACCTTGTGGCTCGCAGCCCGATTCGTAACCGCTACGCTACCAGAGCTCCTTTCCCCAAGTATGATACCCTGTTTTTCCCTGGGAGTCAAAGGTGGTGAGAAACTCAGCTTCAGTTTTGAAGCTCATTTCCATTTAGTTTGAATCTTATGTTAATGGTACAATAAGAGGAATCCTTGTTCCTTTTTTTGCTTTCCTAGGTACTGGAAGAGGACTGATGAGCAAAACATCCCTGCAGGTTGGCATTTCTTCTTTATCCTTAAAACTCATTGTTGATATTGGTTGCTTTGTTTTTGTTGATATTAATAGTATTTTGACATAACATATTCATGGAAAAATTGTGAAATTTTTCCAGAGCCTTTTGAAGGCCCTTTGTACTGGCATTTCCTAAGAATCTAGTATGTATGTTTGATTATAGCTTTATCAGTGACGATTGAGTTTTGTTGTATAAAAGAGAGAAATGCAAAGTAACAGGACTTCAACAGAGTGGAGGCTTAGTTTGCTCTTGTGTGGAAGGATTAGGCAGACCAGGCTGGTGTGGCCATCTGGGTCCCAGGCTTCTTGTAGCTCTCTGTCGTCCATGTCCCTAGATGATGTGCCCCACCCCCTCAGGTCTAGGAGCTCCTGGGGCATCAGCACCAAGCAGGCAAAGAAGGTAGGGAAGGACAGGTTTCCTCCCTGTAAGGAAACTCCTGCCTGCATCTCTCTGGCTGAAAACAACAGGTCCAAAGCCACAGCTGACTGCAGGGAGGGGAAGAGCAGGTGACCTCAGTCAGTGAGGAGGAGCAGGAGAGGAGGTGTGTTAGGGCAGGCACCTAGCAATCTCCGCCACAGCACACACTGTGAATCAGATCATGTTTTAAATGTGCCCAGGGAGCTGTGCTCCTCTCAGGCTGTACCCAGTAAATAGAGTTCTGAGCTAGTGGTGGGGAACCCGCAAAACTCCTTGCCTATCGGCTGCTGTTTCATTACCTGTCAAATGAGGATGACTGACAGCCTCCCAGGTCCTTTTTTGTTCTTTTGGTATAAGATTTAAAGGCTGTCTAATATGAAAGCTGTGAAAGGCAAGGTCATTCCTTCATATTATCATTTACTTATTTTTCCGTTTTGATCTCTTACATTTATTTAGGCAAGGTCATTCCTTCATATTATCATTTACTTATTTTTCCATTTTGATCTCTTACATTTATTGGCCTAAGATATTCCAGCCATTCAAGGACTCGAGGGAACGCAGCAGTAGTTTTTGTTGAAAACACAGGAGTTGCTTCACATGTATTTTACAATGTTTGTGTTTTTTTAAAAAATAATTAAACTTGTGTTTTTAAAGTGGAGACACTTAAGCTGTGCATTAAGTAAACGTACAGTTGGATGAGTTTTGATGACATAGTTAAGCTAGAGATCATTTCCATTGAGTGATTTTTTATTTTACCTAGAACGTCATGGGAATTATTGATCTTACATACAAATGAGCAGTTTCTGTATTTTAATAATTTACATAAATACAAATACAAACCATAAACATTTACACAAAAGGCACTGGTCATTTTTGGTAAATGGCATTAAAGTCATTGGTGAAAGATGAGAAAATGACTCTAAGATAGGATTGGATAGTAACACAGATTAAAATAAAAGAAAGCCTTAAGACTTTGGAGCCCAATGAGGAATCCAGAAATAGAACCTCGAAGATTTGCTATTGGAGTGGCTGAGATTTTTAGCCAGCCTTAGGTGCCAGTTACAGTAAAAGCAGGATCTTAACCTGGCATCTTGGTGTTCTCATTGTTTCTGGTGGCTTTTACTTTCCATCTCAATGTTTTTGTTTCTGTGACCTGGTGAGAAAAATCCAGAGGTAACCTTTTGCAAGTGGTAAAGTTAGAGTCTTGCTGTGCCGTTTCTTTAGCTAGTTGGCTAGTTACAGGTGATGTACAGAGTAGGCGCTTGCCTGGAGTAGTAATTATTGTTTAATTGGTTCTGACTCGTAGCGACCCTGTATTAGGGTTTTCCAGGAGTGACTGGTGAGTTTGAACTACTGACTTTGAGGTTCAAACTGAGTCTGTGGCCCAGTACTTATGCCACCGTGACACACCAGGACTCCTTGGCTGGAGTTGTTGTTGTTGAGTGCTGTCGAGTTGGTTCTGACCCATAACAACCCTGCATAGGATTTCCAAGGCTTTAAATCTTTATGGGAGCAGAAAGTTTCATCTTTCTCCCATAGAACGGTTGGTAGTTTTGAACTGCTGACCTTGAGGCTAGCAGCCTGATTCATAACCAAGAGTAGTCTCTTAAAAAAAACACCAAAACTTACTACCATTTAGTCAATTCCAACCCATAGCAACTCTGTATAGGGTTTCTGAAGCTGTAAATCTTTGTGGAAGCGGCTGGTGGATTTCAGTTGCTCACCTTGTAGTTAGCAATCCAGTGCTTATCCTACAGCACCAGCAGGACACTGGATTTCACTGGTTAGCATGGTATTTTCTAGTTTCTGCCTGTTTCCTGGTATAAGAAAATGAAGGGGTAAGATGATTCAAGTTGTCAAAATGTCTCCCTTCCAGGAGAGAGATTGATGAGTGGTGGGTCACATCATTAACCTCTAGTTCTTGTTGGCGTGGTAGTAGCTGGCATTGGAACACGCTGGCCTGCACCTGCTGATTCAGGGGTTTGGAGTGAGCCCACTGTGGGCTGTCGGTGCGTGGTTGGGTTACAGGGGAGTCTTGGTAGGTAATGGTGGAATCAATCATTTTACATATTCTCAGGCCATTTCTAAGTGTGTTCTAAACATTCTTTTCTTTTTGGTAAGGTGGGACAGATGATTATTTCACTGCCTGAGAGTTGCCTGCTTACCACGGACACGGTGATTAGAAGTTACTTAGGAGCTTACATTACTAAGTAAGTGACCACTGCTCATGTGCTCCTATGGTGGACATGCCTGTCATCAGCCAGTGTGCCATTTGAGACATTAGGACCTCCCCCTGTTGAGTAATCAGTAAATATCTCAGATAATTTTAAAAGTATATCCTTTTCCATGAAACTTGTCCTTAATTCATTGTAAGCTGAAATTTTAAGGTTTGTCCAGGCTGCTGATATGGATTGAATCTTGATCCATCACTTATTTGACTAAAGGACATGGTATATGTAATTCACAGACACCGTGCCTTGACTCATCATGGCCTTCCTGCCATCCTAGAGGTGGTGGTAGTGGTGGTGGTGTGACGTGCAGTCGTTTCAGACTCATGACCACCCTGCACAGAGTTTCCGAGGCTGTAAATCTTTATGGAAGCAGAAAACCTCATCTTTCTCCTGATGAACAACTGGCAGTTTCAAACTGCTGACCTTAACGTTAGTAGTCCGACTACAGCTCCTTGCCATCCTAGTTGTTGTTGTTAAGTGCCGTTGAATTGGTCCTGACTCACAGCAACCCTGTATAGGGTTTCCAAGGAGCAGCTGGTGAGCTTGAACCGCCAGCCTTTTGGTTCAAACCGACATTGCAATCTAGCGCATTACCCACAGCTCCACACCAGGACTCCTGCCATTCTAGTAGGTCTTGACAAATGTTAGTGAGTTTCTTTTATTTTCAGCCTTACTTGTACTTGCTTGAATTCTTCTGCAGACAAGGAGCTGTTGACTTTATGAAAGATTTAGTTTTACTTAGCACAGAGGAGGAAGCCAAAGAGGGTTGAGAAACATTTTCTGGTGCATGCTATGTGGGCCTTTGGGTCAAGGTTTCTGAGGATACAGTGAATGAGATCTTCAACAGAGAGATTTGTGAATTACAAGATTTGAGAGATTGTCTAGTTCATATTTTTGTTTTTTAATTAAAAAAATTTTTTTTCTAGTTTGTTTTTTTAATCTCAAGTTTAGTTCTAGAATTTTTTTCTATCCTGGCATGTTTTTGTTAAAGGACAAACGTATCCTTGTAGGTTAGAGTAAAGGCAAGGTTGTTCTTAAGAGTCACAGTTTTTGTATTGTTTTCAAGTTTTGCATAGAATGAGTGTCTGACAGTATATGAATCCAGACTTTCATGATATATTTTATTGGTAACTATGTAAACAGATAAAGATACTGAAGCATATAATTCTCAATGAAGCTAGGTAAATTCAGAAAGGAAAGCTTTAGAAGTGTAACGAGTACATAATTAGCTTGTTCAGTTTTTGGTCTAGGTTAGTATCATCCAGTTGAGTTTTCTGTGATGAGGTGAGTGTTTTCTTCTGCATTGTTTAATATAGGAGCCAGATAGCTTTTGAATACTTGACATGTGTCTTGTATGACTGAGGAATTCATTTTAAATATTGATATGTAGCTCATCGCTTGTTCTCTAGCTGGCACAAACGATTTGCATTCAGCTACTCACCTAATCGTTGGTGACTTAGAACTCAGCCAGTGGTTCCATGGAAGAAAGCTTTCCTTCTATAATGATTACAGCCAAGGAAAACCGATGGAGCAATTCTCCTCGTTAACACTTGGGGCTGCTGTCAGTCAGAATCATCTTGGTGGCATTGGCTTGTTTATGCTTAATCTAAGTAATACAAGTAGACTTGCAGCAAAAGTGTTCAAATTGGAAAACCAAGGGAAGCAAAGAGGTTTATGCCAAAGGAATCTCTTGTAAACAGGCCTAGAACTGATCTTGTGGTTCACTCTCTCTGTAGGACTTGCTCAGAACACTTGCAGTGGGGTCTGCTTCAGAGGGCTGAGGCAGGGGGAACTGTTGGGTCCCTCAAATAAATGTGAAGTCGTTGATATTTTGAACATAATCTCTCTGGTTGCAAAAGAAACCACTAGGATATATATAAGGAGTCTTGTTAGCGTAGAGGATTATGAATTGGGCTGCTGATCTCAGGGTCAACAGTTCGAATCTACTCACTGCTCTACAGGAGACAGATGAGGTGTTCTGCTCCCATAAAGATTTACAGCCTTGGAAACTCTATGCAGGGTCGCAATGAGTTGTGTGTGTTCCTTATTTTGAGTAACAGTCATTTCTTTAAACCTGTTTAATTTGACCAGGTGGCAGCCGCCTCCATCTCCTCTGCTGGCTCTCTGCACCTTTCTAGTCTCAGAAAAGCATGCTGGGGACCAGTCTCCATGGAAGCCTTACCTAGAGACTCTACCTGAGGCCTACACTTGCCCTGTTTGTTTGGAACCGGAAGTTGTGAATCTTCTTCCCAGGCCTTTAATAACAAAGGCCCAAGAGCAGAGGGCCTGGGTGCAGAAGTTTTTTACATCCTCCAGAGACTTTTTCTTGTCCCTGCAGCCTCTCTTCTCCCAGGCAGTGGGCAGCATCTTCACCTACAGCGCCCTCCTGTGGGCCTGGTGCACTGTTAACACCAGAGCTGTGTACCTGAGACACAGGCAGCGCAGGTGCTTCTCCGTGGAGCCGGACACGTGTGCGCTCGCCCCGTACTTGGATCTGCTGAACCACAGTCCAGACGTCCAGGTGCGCAGTCCATCAGGGGGCATGCTCTGTTTGGATAGGAAGGATTTGCACATGTAGAACTGACTGTATTGTGAGCAAAAGCAGGCATAGTTTGTTTTAGGTAAACCTGCTAGTGCAACCTGCTGTCAGGTATGCCCTCATCTTTCTTCCGGGTCCATTGTCCTTCCTGGGATCTGTTCGTCTGCTCTTTTCTCCAGCCCTGAGCTGTATCCCCTAGCCTGTCTGTCCCAGCATTCCTTCCAGTCTCTTTGCAACCCCCACCCCATGACCACCCTCCACTGTTGTTGAGTCACTTCCGGTTCCTAGCAACCCGTATGCACAATAGAACGACACTGCACGGTCTTGCACCATCCTTACAATTGTTGTTACATTTGAGCTCAGTGCTGCTGTCACCGTCAGTTCATCTCCTTGGGGGTCTTCCTCGGTTTTGCTGATCCTCCACTTTACCAGGCATGATGTCCTGGTCCAGGGACTAGTCCCTCGGATAGCATGTCTAGAGTGCCTGACCTTACAGGACAGAGCAGAACTACTCTGGTGGATTTGAAGTTAGCAGCCTAATGTGTAACCCACTGCTCCACCAGGGCTCCTTACCTTTGGGATAGAGTCTTCCTTTGTCCTTCCAGAACTGGGCCTTGCTAGCTTTCTGGTCCCCTTCGCTTTTACACTTGGAGATATTGCTGTCATAGCATGATGAATGAACTTGCTCCTTCCCCTACAGGGGTCTGAAATCTCTTGAGGAGAGGGATTTTTGCCTGCTCCCTCTTTGCAACTCCAGTACCAGCACAAAAGGCTGTATAGGATCTAGGTGTGTGGGACAACTCACCTGGGAGACTGGCTACCAGCTGCTGTGCGATTTATGCACCATCTCCTCCTGTAAATGCCAAGTGCAGAACCCCAGATCAAGCAGCTGAGTTGCTGCATATGCAGGCCTTGCAGGGCTATTTGATGATGGGATATTCATCTTCTGGATTTACACCTTACCCAGGTCATGGCAAATAGAAACTGCTGCCTAGTTGGTTGTGCTGTCTCGTGACTCTATAGGGCAGAGAGTTTCTGAGACTAAATCTCTCCAGGAGCAGACAGCCTCATTGTTCTCTCTAGGAGTAGCTGGTAGGTTTGAAACACCAACTTTGTGGATAGCAAAACTGTGTCCCCAGAGAGCTAGGGTTGCCAGCCTGTTAATCATTTTCACTGATGCTGGGGTTTGCTGCTCAGCAAGCAGAACTTGGTGCTTGGACTCATCCTCAGTGCAAGGAGCAGTTGAGGCCTTGGTGCTGTTCTCCTCGTGTTATACCTGGTAGCTAACTATCCCTAAAAAACTGTCAATTCCTAGGGTTTCCAAGTTCTGTAAGTTTTCGGAAGCAGACCGCCTCTCATCTTTTTACCTTCAGACTGGCTGGCAGGTATAAACCACCAGCCTTTCAGTTAGCAGCTGCTTGCTTTACCGGTGCGCCACCAGGGCCCCTTGTAATTAACAACATAACCTCACAATTCATGAGATTGTATAAGTCATAGTCATGCCAGGGCTGAAGTGCAGATTTGACACTTTTGTGTTCTTTTTTTTTCCCCACGTGGTTAAATACATTGATGAGCATTGGAAAGTTGTGTCTAGTGTAAATTAATGTGACAACATAATAAACTTTTCATTTTTACACATAAGAGTCTTTAAAAACTTCTTGTCTTCTTAGGTAAAAGCAGCGTTCAATGAGGAAACTCGCTGTTATGAAATTAGAGCGGCTTCAGGTTACAGAAAACACGAAGAGGTGTTCATCTGCTATGGTCCCCATGATAACCACAGCCTGCTCTTGGAATATGGATTTGTTTCCACCGGGAATCCTCACGCTTGTGTTTATGTCCCAAGAGGTTAGAGGCAACTTTGGCTTTATCCCTAAAATGATATAATTGTTTTTCCCCATCTGGAGATACGCTTATTTCAAGTTTTAATAAACAGTAGCAAAACCTTAAAGCATAGATACTTGTTGCTGTGGAGTCAGCTCTGGCTCATGCAACCTCACGCAGGTCAAAGGAGAAGCATGTTCCACAGGGTTTTCAGTGGCTGATTTTTCAGAAGCAGAGCTCTAGGCTTTTCTTCCGAGGCACCTCTTAGTGGACTTGAACCTCCAGCCTTTTAGTTAGCAGCCAAGTGCCTGTTTTCACCACCCAGGGACTTCTAAAGCACATGTTTAGTTCACTTACAAGGGCACTTCAAGAAGTTAGTGAAAACATTCTCATTAACTTCATTTTTCCATGAGGTTTTTGAAGCCCCCATGAGTCTTCTCATAGGTAGGCCTACCCTTACTATGACTGTAATTTCAGCATTGAAGTAAAAACCACTAAGTTTTGACCGATTGATAACTGAGGATAAGAAATGACAAAAGCTTTTATGATATTAGATTAGAAGACAGAATGGAAGAGAAGGAAAATAATATTAAGGAATAAATATTAATAGGTGGGAAAAACAGAAATTTCTGTACCAAGATATTATTGCACCACCAAAACTCACTGCCACTAAATAAAGACAGAACAGAATTAGAGGTCAACAAATCCAAAATTTTATTAGTACGTAATAAAAAATAAACAGATTTTTATTAAGCACATACTAGAATTTCTGATGTGGCACCATAACATAAGCACTGAACTGCTAGCCTGAAGGATGGCAATTCGAACCTACCAACAGCTAGCACCTCGGAAACCCTATGCAGGGTTTCTGTGAGTCGGAACCGACTTGACGGCACTTAACAGCAGAAGCCCTGGAAGGAGCCCTGGTGGTGCAGAGGTTAGAGTGCTTAGCAGCTGACCCGAAGGTTGGTGGAGATGGATGTGGCAGTCTGCTACTATCTAGGTTACAGACTTGGAGACCCCGGGGGCAGGCGGGGGGGCAGTTCTGTTCTGCTGTGCAGGGTTGCTGTGAGTTGGAATCAATTTGACGGCAGTAGGTTTGGGCTTTTTGGATTTTAGAATCCTGGGTGGAGCACATGGTTAAATGCATGACTACTAACCAAAAGGAGGTTTGGTAGTATGAATCCACTGAAAAAAATTTTTGGTGGTTTGAATCCACCTAAAATCACCTCAGAAGAAAGGCCTGGTGATCTACTTCTGATAGGTTACAGCCATGAAACTCCTATGGAACACACATGGGTCTGCCATGAGTTGGCGTCAGCTCAACAGTAGCTAGTGGGTTTTGTTTTTTTTTTAAATTTTTTTTTTTTATATGCAAGGCACAGTGCTAACCACAGTATTTATTTTTAGAGTTGTTATGCCATAATGAACTGTTGACTCAATTTATGCTTTTTTCCATGTATTAACTATACATCAACACTCGTGTTACTATTTAAAAAATAGTAATTTAGCTATTAAATTTACGGTGTAAAAATTCAAATTAAGAGTATTAAAAACACTATATATAGAAGACTGATTTTGTTCCGTCTCTTGAAGCAGCAGAAATAGTTTTTCTGCTGTGGAGAAATGGCCAGAAATTTAAGATGTCTGTAATTTGAGGCAACTTGTTAGAATAAGGACCAGTGGAAATAGAAGCTTGGTAATACTGGGCAGAATAAAAATGTTGTTTCTCAAAATAAAAAGTAGGAAAGCAAAATCTGGGCCTTGTTAGTTGTCTTTGAAAACTAGCTCTGAGACTGGCTGCGTGTTTTCAGAATCTGGATTGCTTTACTACTTACTGATGACTATGACAGGTGATGCTGTGGGATAGCACTAGACTGCTCGCCTCAAGGTCGGTGGTTCAAATCCACTAGCTGCTCCTGGGAAACCTTACACAGGCTCTCTCTGAGTCAGAACCAGCTCAAGGACACTATGAAATGTTCATTTCTGAAATAATTTGAGCAAAGTTTACATTTTACTTATTTTTGCATTAAAATAAAAACAACCTAGTAATAATAAAGAGAAAATTTAGAATATAGAATCCCTCATTGCTCTGTTGTTAGTTGCTGTACAGTGGGTGCTGACTCAGGGCGACCCCATGTACAACACAAACATTGTCCAGCCCTGCTCCATCTTTACAAATGTTGGTTTGCTCAAGTCTACTTTGTATTTTGAGTCCCTTCCAACCTTAGAAGGCTCATCTTCTAGCACTGTATGGGACAGTATTGTGTTGTGAGCCATAGGGTTTTCATTGTTGCAGGCCTTTTTCCTTCCTTAGCTTGTCTTGGTCTGGAAGTTCTGCTGAAACCTGTCCACCGTGGATGCCTCTTACTGGTTTTTGATATATCCATGGCATAGCTTCCAGCATCATAGCAACATGAAAGCCACTATAGTGTGACAAACTGATAGACAGGTGGAGACTTGTTACCACCCCAAATAGCTTCATTTATGTTTACGTAGTAGTCACTTCCAGTTTTTATGGCTGCAGTCACTAATATTTAGACTCTTGAATTCTGGCTTTTTTTTTTTTAAGTTTCTATTGTGAATTATGTGATAGTTTACATGGGAGAACATTAACTTTACATTCGGTTACAATCCCCCCCATGCATCATCAAACAACCAAAGGGCTCACCCCACAAACCTTCCCCTCAGTTGTTAACACACAGCTCCTGTCCCTCTCTGGGTCTAGAGTCCCCAGCTGCTCCATCTCTTCATGTCATTGTCTCTGCCTCTGTCTTTGATGTCACTGCTTCTTTGGGTAGGGTCCCACACTCCACTTTTCTCCCTTGATGGTCCCAGGGTCCTCTGCTCCTGGACTGCAAAGTCAATCACTCCCCTCCTTTTGTTACAAAACGTCTATCTTTACATTTCCAACACTCACAGTCAGTCCTATTAGCAGTCCTTCACTATTGAACCACAAGAGTCTTATTCCCATCTCCTTTCATAAGCCCCATCCAGATAGGTCAGAAACCACTCAGTGGAGTTGAATTCTGGCTTTTAAAAATTTTTTCATGTTATTTAAATTTCCCTAAGTGTGGTGTAAGCAGTTAATGTACTTGGCTGCTAACTTAAAGGTTGATGATCTGCATTCACCCAGAGGCACCTCAGAAGAAAGGCATGGTAGTTTGCTGTAGAAAAAGTAGCCACTGAAAATCTCATGGATCATAGTTCTATTCGAACACACATGGGGGTGCCTTAAGTCCTGGTGAACTCCAAGGTAATAGGTGTAATGTTTTTGTTGTAATTTTCCTACAAATACGTTGTTGATGTATTAATGATCTGATTTGGTTGGTTGATTTGCATGAGCTGAGTTTGTGGAGGTCCTGGCTTCCTGTATTAGAATTTTTATAGTTTTTCAGGAGTGAAGCAATGACCTAATTGAATTAGGCATGAAAATGACTTTTTTGTCTATGTGATTGGGTCATTATTGTGAAACATGCCTTGGGAAGGAAATTGAGTTGAGAAGGGAAGTTCATACTGTTGTCTAAATCTTAGTCTGCCTTTGTTTTTTCAAATGTAGATATTCTTGTTAAATATCTCCCATCAGCGGATAAGCAGATGAACAAAAAGATTTCCATTTTAAAAGACCATGGCTTTATAGAGTAAGTATTTTTTTCTGTGTCTCTTCTTGAAGTTCTTCCTTCAGGAATGAGGTTTAGGCCTCTGTAGGTGGGAGACTCCTGACTGTCAACGGCAGGGCAGTGTTTGTTGCGCACTTACCATGTGCTGTAAAAGCGTGCTTAATGTTGCTGGGGATACGGGAGTGTAAGGCACTCTCAAGAAACTTGGTTTGGTACGTAAGAAAGATGCTTGAAATGCTAAATTATTATACCAAAAGGGAGCCTGGTAAGCACTGATTGGTGGCCTAATGTGTTCTTGTGTCTAACATGAGGGACAGACTTGAGCTAGTGCAGGACAAGGCTGGCCCTCAATGGACTGGACCCAGTCACTCCAAACATGGGCATTGATTCAGGCACTCGAGGTGGATGGGCAACTAGGTGATTCCTTGCCAAGTGGAATAGACAGGATTTTAGCTTTTCTCTTTCATAAATCCTCTGGATAAATATATCAGTTTTAAGCAATCCAGCAGTATAAAGGCAGTCTAGCTGTGGTAGCTGCTGTTTATTTGAGCCCCCAAAGGAATCTAGATTCTACATCATTCATCTCACTGTGAAGTGTCATGTGTCCCCTCTTGTATGGACCCTCAACCAAGTTTAATCCCTTAACAAAATTAATTGAAGAATAACTTTTTACCCCTTTTTCTGTTTGTTTTTTTTTAATGCAAAGAATTTTCTGTTATTAGACTCTTACTATTGTTTGTAGACTACCCCCCCCCCCATGCCCCTTTTGACCAGTGTCGTAGGTTACATATGTTTGGTGGTGATGCTTATGTGCCATGGAGTCGGTTCATAGCGACCCTGTATAGGGTTTCTGAGCTGTAAATCTTTATGGGAGCAGAAAGCCTTATCTTTCTCCTGTGGAACAGCTGGTAGATTCAAACTGCTTATCTTTTGGTCAGCAGCCCGACTCATAACCCACTACACTGCTAGGGCATCTTTACATATGTTTAGTGGCCACTGTAAAGCAATATGTGGCTTTTCGGCCATTTGTCATGATGTATGTAATACCTAAATAAAGGTTTGTTGTTATTTTTTCTATTTTAGCAATTTGACATTCGGATGGGATGGCCCATCTTGGAGGTTACTTACAGCTCTCAAGTTGTTATGTCTGCAAGCTGGAGAATTGTAAGTTCCATGTGCGTAAGTCATGAGCTGTAGTTACAATCTGTATGTAACTCAGGTGATGTTGGCTGACATTCAAGGGCTGGACCCAAAAGGAGCAAAAGGGTGCCACCATATATTAAAGTTGCTTTTTCTTTATGTTGTTTGTCATTGCAGTGAGTATTTTCATCTAAGTTTTAACCATTCTCCTAGGACTGTGGTTTTAGAATCATCATCCGAACACATGGTTCTGAGACTGTGTTAGCTTCTGTTCAGATTGCCTTCTGTCTTTCCTGAGAACTCATCAGCTCCTAGTTTCAGCCATCTCTCTAAAGCTGAAGACTTCTAAGACTATTCTGTGGCGTGTCGTCTCAGCTGCTGTGCATTTTTAACTGGCGTCTGTGCGCTGCTTCTCTTCTCAGTGTTGCTGCAGTCATTTTACCTTGAGTCCTCTCAGTCCGATTCCACTTCCGTATCTGTGGATCCAGACCTGTACCTCCATCCGCTTCCTCCTGAGTTCATACTGCTTTCTAGTATGCAGATTTGGCCTTGCTCCCTCGTCCCCACCCAAATGCACCTAAACTTTTCTGTCTGCAGTACACTGGCCCTACTCTGCCCATGGTGGCACAAAGGTTCAGCGCTCGTTGTGGTTCGAACCTGGTGATCTGCCTCAGTAAAGATTGTTGTTGTTATTGTTAAGTCAGTTCTGACTCTTAGCAATCCTGTTTATTGTTTCTGAGGCTGTAGGCCTTTGCAGGAGCAGAATGCCTCATCTGTCTCCCACGGGGTGGTTGGCGGTTTTGAGCTGCTGACCTTGTGATTGCTGTCCAGTGCTTATCCTACATAGTCATCAAGCCAAGAAAACCCTGTGGTCTCTGTGGTTCAGTTCTTCTCTGTCACATGGGGTCTCCATGAGTCGAGATAGACTTGATGGCACCTAACAACAACCCTGCCCATGAAGTTCATTTTCTACAAATTTTTGTAGTATGAAATTGGAATGACCTGTGTGTACAGAAAGACTAGACAGCAGAGTCACCCTTCCATTGTTAAACATTGTTTTGTCTAACTTGCTCTGTACGGGTTTGCTGTGTTTTAAGGAAAGAGTGTCCAGTCTCATCCAGTTGACCGCTGGCTGTGGACTCGCCTTCCAGCTCTCTTCTCATCTTATTCCTTTGACTGGTGGCTGCGACTCTGCTTACTTATGGCCAGACACAGGACTACAAGGATCATAAAACTCCGTTTCCACCTATGTAGAGCACCTGATCCCCTTGCTCTTTACTCTCAGTGGCTTCTTCCGAAGTGACCGCCATTGTCTTTCTTTATATGTGACATGGGGGTTTTAGGGAATCTGCCTACAGAGGGCGCTTTTAGTAATAGAGTTTGTGTGCTGTGTTGGGGTGTAAAAGTGTTCTTTATTTTTTGAAAACCTGATGATAATTTCTTACTGAACATTTTGATTCTAGTACATGCTGGAAAAAAGTCCTTCTTGGCGAAATCATTTCAAATACAAATGAGAAGACAAGTTTGGACATAACCCAGAAGATCTGCTCTTATTTTATAGAGGAATCTAATGCTATGCTTCAAAAGGTATGTTTCTAGAAAACTACATCCTTTTCCTTAAGAAATATTTTAAGAAGTTACTTCTTTTATACATGTATGGTAGGGATAGTACAGTTTATAAAAGCACTATTTCATCTTTTAAATAAATGAATGTTGATGTAACCTCTAGTTTAGATTATTGAAATTATGCATACACCTTTCATAGGTAAAAATGATTGCCTGACTCTTTGGTAATAGGTTTTGAGTACAATTTTCCAATTATATTTTCATCTAACAAATGTTTTAATTCAGAGAGATCAACTCATTTGTTTGAAAACATAACTGAGATTAAAAAAAATAATTTAAAAACTTTCAGGTTTCTCATATGAAGGATGAAGAAGTGGCTTTGATAAACCACCTGACTTTGGTAGAAACTTTATGGACAGAAGAGCTAAAGATTCTGCAAGCGTCTGCTGCCGTTCTAAGCAATTTGCAAACAGCTTTCACCTAATGTGACCAAAGTACATGTGATCACCTCCTATGGTTGGTGTGACTTATTAAGTAATGTAAACATTTTTGAACTATGGTGGATTGAATTAAATTTATTTTATATAGTCATTTACATGGCTTCTAGTCAACAGTTATTTACTTAATCCTTTTTCCTTTTCCACAAATACTGAGCTTTTATGAGTCTTTGTGAGACAGTGTGGTGGGTGTTCTTACAACATTCTGGAGATATCTGTAAGCTGTAGCTGCTACGGCCATTGTGAAGGTGGAGGTGGCATTCGGAAGTTCATTCACTGCTCTACCAAATCACAGTTCTGAAGGAAGTATAGAAAAAGTTCTAAACTGTAATGAGAGGAGACTTGGGGTCGGCCCTGGGTCTCCATGGGTGGTCTTTCATTGCCCTTCTTGCTTCTGATCTGACTCAGCAGCTCTGAAAGGGCAAATATTCGTGCTTCTAAGATGCTCTGATACCATCACATTCTGAGGGAAGTTAGTGGTGTGTGATTTTTTATTGGGGCTGTGAGGGGTTGCTCCAGCAGTCTTGGCTTTGCCCACAGCCACATTCTAAGCTGTAGTTAACAAGTATGACTTTGTCATCCTTAATTTCCCTCCTGAAGATGAGAACGTTGGTCTACAGGGTGGGTCCCATTTTCCCCAGCCCTTCATGCCTACCCAGCCAACAGGTCCTGCAGAGTCCTAGGTGATGAGGCACCTGCCCACCTCTCCAGGCCCACCACTGTGAATGGAGCGTTAGGATTCGGCAGTCTGAGCCACTTTGCATGGTTCTGTGTGGGGAGTTCCTAGTCATCATTACTTAATAGGGGATTATGGTGCCTGCTTCACCGCTCCTCCTTCCACTTGGAGTCTGCCAGCACTTGGTTGGAATCTTGTGAGCTGATGTTCCCACCTGCACTGTTTTCTCTGTGGTAGGGTGTTTGTTCGGCTTAGTTAGATTATTGCTTTTTTTTTTTTTTTTTATCATAACTTTAATGGGGCTTTCAGGAAGGAAAATGGCATTAGCCATTTTTGAATTGAATCTTTGCTTTTTTTGTTTTTTTGAATAATTAAAGAATGTTGGGCTGTAGACATCCCTCTGAGTTTGGGTTTTATATAAAGTGTTTGCCCCGGTGGTGCAGAGGTTAAGCAAAAGGCTGGCAGTTCGAACCCACTGAGGGGGAAAGACCTGGTGATACGCACCATCTCTTCAGCCCCTTATCCTTCCCTATCTGGGAGCATGGAGGTAGATGCTGGAGCCCTTCTGTGGCATCCAGGAGGAGAGGTTTTTCCTTAAGCACTCTCTCAGCCTCTCTGTCCCTAGAGGACAAACCCACCTCATGATTAATTAGGGAAGGATGGCTGCCTGAGCACCACATTTCTTCAGTTTTATTCCTGGTGTCTTTCCTGGATGGCCTCTCCGCCTGGGAAGGTCTGTCTGATTCTGTGGTCCAGTGCAGGTGAATTTACTCAAAGCCACACCAGTAGTTCGTGGCCTCCAACCTTACACTGTGTTTTGTTCTCAATCTTCAATTGAATCAGGGGAGGGTGAGGAAGGCGCTCGGCCTACTACCCCAGGTGTTTTTGGGACACCCTGGGTGGATACTGCAGAGGGCGTGGGGCCTTGGACGGGTAGTAGGGCTTAGAAGTAGGGAGAGATGAGGCTTCTAGTCTTAGCCCAGGGTACATCCCAGGTTGACATTTCTGTGCCCAGAGCCCTTTGACTTCCTCTCTTAAAACTCAGGCTCCTCTCCATGCTCGGGCTCAGCACACTGAGTGAATGAGGCCCACTCCCCTCAGAAGGTGGTTGGAGGTATAAACAAAATACCTTCATGATGAAATCTTGAACGTGTTTCTCTATTAGTATATATACTGTTGTTAGGTGCTGTGGAGTCTGACTCACAGTGATGCTATGTACCTGCTTGATTCTGCATCATCCTCACTGTAACTGTTGTTACATTTGAGCCCATTACTGCTGCCATGGGTCAGTCAGCCTTTGAGATCTTTCTCTGTTTTCGCTGACCCTTCACTTCCCCAAGCATGATGTTCTTCCAGGGACTGGTCCCTCCTGAAAACACGGGAGACAAAGTCTATCTTTGCTTCTAAGGAGGATTCTTGGTGTCTTTCAGTTTTTTCAACTTTTTATTTTGAATTGAGTGAAAGTTTACAGAGCAGATCATCAGTTTTATATTTAACAAATCGTGTACTATGCTTCATTACAATGATTACAATCCCCTCCATGTATCAACAGTTAACAGTATTTATCTCTATTCATTTTAACTGTTCCATTCCTCCCTCTGTCTCCTGCTATCTTTATCTTCCTCAGCTAACCTCCCTCTTGTTGTATTACCTGCCCTGTCACTCATGTTAACATGTGTGTACTCTCTGTGAATAATCCCTACCCCCATACCCATCATAGATTCTTTTATCAATCAAACATTTTTTTTTAAATTTTTATATCATTATCCTTTTGTGTTTGATTAATTTCACTCAATGTAATGTCAGGGTCACCTGACACCTCACACCATGTTGTGGGGTGTTTCACAGAATCATTATTCTTCAGTGTTTTGTAGTATTCCATTGTGTGTATGTACCAAAGTTTGTTAAACCATTCTTCTACTGATGGGCATTTCAGCTGCGTCTCTGGTAGACAGCATATTGAAACATCCTGTTTCCTTTTTCTTTTAAAGCTTTTATTGTGAGTTGAGTGATAGTCTACATGGCAGAGCATCAATTTTACACTCAACCAATCACATCTTGTTTTGTTGTAATAATTATAATCCCCTTTTTGGATATACACAAAAACAGGCAGCAATATATAATTGTTCAAACAACCAAAGGGCAAATTCTGAAAAACTAGCCCTCTGCCTGTCAACACACAGCTTTTCTCTTCTCATGAGTCTAAAGTCCTCAGATGCTCCCTCTCACCATGCAATTTTCTATGCCTCCATCTCCGGTGTCACTGCTTTCTGGTTAGGATCCTATGTTCTGCTCATGCTTTTCCCTCTTGCTGGTCCTAGGGTCCTCTGTTCTCGGAATGTAAGATTAACTACTCTCCCCTTTTTGTTACACATCTTCTACCTTTACCATTGTGACAATCACAGTTAGTCATCTTAACAAGTTGTTGTTAGGTGCCATCGAGTTGGTACCGACCCATAGCAACCTTATGCATAGCAGAACGAAACACTGCCTGATCCTGGGCCAACCTCACTACTGTTGCCACTCTTGAGTCCAATCCATCTCGTTGGGGGTCTTCCTCTTTTTCTCTGACCCTCCACCTTACCAAACATGATATCCTTCTCTAGCGACTGGTT